ACCCTATAGTGGATCTTTGGTGTTCCACTACTCTTCCATGATCAACATCAATGTATATTTCTATACCTCTATTTCTGTTTTTCTCAAAGAAAATGCCCTTCCCAGGGTTAAGCTTTGGGTAGCTTAAAATCTTAAAGTACAGCCTCCATGTGTTCTTCTTGGGGTCGATGCATGAACTGGCTCACCACTCCCACTGCATAACTAATGTCAAGGCGTGTGTGAGTGAGATAAATCAGTTTCCCTACTAGCCTCCTGTATCTTTCGGAGTTCACTGGAATACCTTTAGGTTTGATTTCTAGGTCACGTGGTCTCTATAGGTATTTCTCTAGGCCTGCATCCTAGCATCCCTGCTTCTTGGAGAAGTTCAGGGGTGTATTTCTGTTGAGACACATTGATCCCTTTCTTGGTTCATGCTATCTCCATGCCCAGGAAGTACCTCATTTGCCCAAGATCTTTAACTTGGAACTCAATAGCCAATGCTGCTTTTAGTAGCTCAATTGGCTTCTTGTTATTTCCTGTGATTATGATGTCATCAACATAAACAATGAGCAGGGTGGTCGTCCCATTGTCATGTTTCACAAACAATGTGTGGTCAGCTTGCCCTTAGAGGTACCCTAGTCATTTTAGGACCTTTGCAAATCTGTTAAACCAGGCCCTAGTGATTGCTTTAGGCCATAAAGTGATTTTCTGAGTCTGCACCCCTTAGTGACATTTTTAGTTTCTCTTGTACCTTCAAGGATTTCCATGTAGACTTCCTCTTCCAAGTCCTCATTAAAGAAGGCATTCTTTATGTCTAGTTGATGTAGTGGCCAATCAGAGTTGGCTGCTATGGACAGTAGAACTTTGATAGTGTTGAATTTGGCTACTGGTGCAAAAGTTTCTTCATACTCAATCCCATATGTCTGAGTGTATCCCTTTGTGATGAGTCTTGCCTTATACTTATTTAGGCTGCCATCAAGGTTGAATTTTGGGGTGAAGACCCACTTGCAGCCTACCACCTTCTCTCCAGGGGGTAAAGTTGTGATGTCCCACATTCTATTCTCCCTTAAAGCCTCGAGTTCTTCTTCCACAGCCTTTTTCCAATTGGCATTTGTCATGGCCTGCTGGAAGGTGTCTGGTATTTTCACCTGTGCACTATTAACAACAAAGTTTTGCATTCTGGTGGATAGGTTAGTGTATGAGACAAATTTTTTAATAGGATGTTGAGTGCAAGATCTGACACCCTTTCTTAGAGCTATTGGCCATCCCAAATCTTCAGGGTCTAGATTCGTGTTGGACTCTTGGTTTTGCCTTAGAGTGGGAGGATCTTCATCTTCGGGACTATTATGGGTATTAGAATTATTAGTTTCTTGATTTCTAGAATTTTCTAGGTGATTTGAGTTGCTGTTGGTTCTGTTTAGAGGTATTTCAGACCTGTTTCTTGATCTTCCTTTGCTGTTTAAATGTTCAGACTCTCTTTGTGTTGCTTTAGGGCTGTGTAGTATAGTTTCATGTGGGTGCTCTATGGGTTCAGGACTGTTTTCAGTTTCCAATTGCTGTGTTTTCTATATTTCTACTTGTAGGCAAGGTAACTATAGGTTCTAGTGATATGTGGGTTATTTCTACTTCTGTTTCATCTGTGTGATGAGTGTGGATGTTCATGGGTTCCTAAATCAGCCATTCGGCAGTTCCATAATTCTCCCCCTGAATGGGTAATTTGGGTTAGTAGGCTTCTTCTTCATAAAATACTGCATTCTTGGTGATGTGAATAGTTCTAGTGATGGGAGAGTAGCATTTGTAACCTTTTTGAGTTGATGAGTACCCCAAGAAAATATATTTTTCAGCTCTTGATTCAAGTTTTCCCGTGTTCTTATAAACAATGACAACACAACCAAAGACTTTGGGAGGTAAAATGTTGATTAAAGGGGAAGTAGGGTAGTGTTCAAGTAATTTCTGAATTGGAGATTTGAAATTTAGAACCTTGAAGGGTACTCTATTTATGTTGCAGTTAACACTACATCCCCCCAATAAAAATTAGGAACATTCTTTTCAATCACAATGGCCCAAGTTACTTCCAATAAATGCTTATTTTTCTGTTCAGCTACCCCATTTTGTCGGAGAGTATAAATACAAGACATTTGATGATGTATCCCTTGTTCAAGAAAAATTTTGAAAGGTCCACTCATGTATTCCTTAGCATTATCACTTCTTAATACTTTAATTGTGGTTTGAAATTGATTTTGCACAAAGATAAAAAATTTCTTGAAAGTTTCAAAAACTTCATATTTTTCTTTTAAAAAAAAAAGCCAAGTCATTCAAGTATCGTCATCAATAAAGGTGACAAACCACCTTGCATTAGAAAGACTTTTTGGTTTTGCAGGACCCTAAATAGCATATGAGAGTAAAAGGGACAATAGGTTTGTAAGGTTGCTTCGAATAGGTAACCCTTGTTTGTTTGGCAAATTGACAAGTGTCACAACTTAGAGAATTTAAAATATCTTTATTAAAAAACTATGGAAACAAGTGTTTCATGTAGCTGAAGATAGGGTGGCCTAACCTATGATGCCACAGTAATATATCTTTGTTTTGAGTGTAGTGGCTAACCATGGCTTGCTTCTGCCTTGTTTCCTTATTGTTCATGTTGAGGTAATAGAGCCCATCCCACTGTTTAGCTCTGCCAATCGTCTCCCCTGCTGAAATATGCACTCTAATTCATTAAATAGGACATGGCATTACTGTCCTTTAGTTAGTTTACTGATAGAAATTAGGCTGTAGATGAGTTCAGGTACATATAGAGTATTATGTATAGTGATATGCTTGGTTAACTCAACAGTCCCACGTCCACATACACAAGTAGAGATACCATTAGCTACTTTACTTTTAGATTTTCTGAACAGTATTTAAGAGTTTTAAATAGGGATTTGTTACCAATCATGTAGTCTGAGGCTCCAGAATCTACAATCCAAAAATCATCATTAGTCATCATAGCATTAAGGGCAATTATAGAGTTACCTGACTGCACTAGGTTAGTACTGGGAAGGCTGCTTTGTTATTCCAGGATCCTCCTTAATAGCTGAAGTTCTTCTGGACTTAGCTTCTCTCCTTCCTCTTCTTTCTTTTCTGCATGGTAGCTTTTCTTTTCTTGTCTATGTTTGTTGTTCATGTTAGATGGTTTTCCATGGAGTTTCTAACAGATTTCTTTTGGTGTGACCCTTCTTGCTGCAATGGTCACACCATTTTTCTCTCTTTCTTCTCTATTCTATTTGATTTGCTCCTTCGGAGACAAGTGCAGATGCCTCAGCTTGTGTGACAGGGAGTTAGGTGAGTTGTTTTCTGTTTTCCTCACATTTGACCATGTTAAATGTTTCAAACAAGCAAGGTAGAGGCTTGAGGCCCATGATTCGACCTCTAACATCTTCAAAAATTTCGATTAGTCCTAACAAGAAATCATAGATTCTTTCTCTTTCAATTAGTTCTCTATAATACTGAGCATCCTCAATGCATTTCCAAGAATGTACCTCAACTAAGTCGAGTTGTTGCCAAATTCTCATAAGAGCACTATAATACTAGGTTACAGTCATCATAACTTGTTTAAGCTCCTTGAGTTGTTTCTTTAATTGGTAGAGTGCTGCTTTGTTGTCAATCGAGGAGTAGGTCCTTTTTGTAGCATCCCAGATTTCCTTTGCTGTTCTAGCCAATAGGTACCCCTCACTGATTTCCAGTGTCATTAAGTTGCATAACCAGGTCATAACCTGGTTATTCTCGGCAAACCATGTATCAAAGGAGGCATCGTTAGGCTGTGGTTGTGGTGCTTGGCCATTTATATATTTCTCCCTGCGTCATCCTCTTAGGTACATTAGGACACTTTGTGACCACTGTAGATAGTCGCTCCCATTGAGCTTGTGGGCTATCACCATTTGTTGGTTTTCAGTGGTGAGCTCTTGCACTGTGGTGGAGCCACTTGAAGGTCCTGTTGCACCAGAAGAGAGGGATTCTAGGGCTGTTGAGGTGCTTGAGTCACTAGGAGAGGATGACCCAGCCATAAGAGCCGACAGTATTGAGCTCCTATCAGCTTGGCTGCGTCGCCAAGTTCCAAACAGAGGAGGAAACTCGTTGTTGCTCATTCTTTCCAGAGCTCTGATACCATATTGTGAATAATTTGAATGTAATTGATTGATGATTCCAATAGGAGAGCAATACATAAATAGGATTAGATTTCCTCACAATATATTTGGAAATCTGATCACATTAAATGAAAATTAAGGGAGAAAAATCCCATTGATATGGAACCGCGATTCTAGGGATTAAAAATAAAAACAGCAAGTAATTGGGGATCTGATTGTAATGGCTAGAAGAGATTTGATTTGATTTGATTCGATTCTGACAAAAAATGTATTTCTGCTACTACATTCGGGGCGTAGTAGAAATAGTAGCGCGGAAAATAGCTATTACAGTGTCACTTCTCAAAGAACTGACACCGTAAATGAATTCATTTACAGCATCAGTTATCAAGTAACTAATGCCATCATTGAATATATTACAACGTTAGTTCCTATCACAACTGACATTGTAACTGGCATTTTTTAAAATTTAAAAAAAAAAATCAAATATCAATCCTTTATTTGACTAGAGAAACTTGGCTCAGTTGGGGAATTAGGTTATACTGAAAATTAAAAGCTATTCTCCATTCAAATATATTGTCATAAAAAAATTATATTCTCACACCTAAATATACACACATGAAACACTCATAACTACAAAAATATAAGGAATTAGGTTATGCTAATTGTTGGGGAAACTTGTCCAAACTCAACCAAAAACATAATTACAGCAAAACTGATTAGCAAATGGCATTTCAAATGCACTAGCGAAATTGACAAAAGTACATCAACATAAACATGGAAACTCAAAAGATAGAAGAAAAAACAAGGAGCCTCGTTATAGTTTGTTTAGGATAAATACAAAAGGTCTCTTCTATTGATGAAAACATAGAAGAAAAGACATTGATTCAAAAGATTAACCTGCACAAAATTGCAGTAGAAACAGCGGTGACTTCTTTATCACTTTCCTCGCCGAGTTCTAAAATTGAATCAAACTCCCTGGTCTCCCTGGTTGCATTATCAAGGCAGTGAACGGTCCATGATGTTTCTCCCGCCATAGATTTGAAAGGGAGGACCTAATGAGTATTGGAGGGTAAAAAATAAAAGACATATTTAGGAGAATTCTTTCCATTTCAAAACGTATAAATTAAAAATGGAATATGAAGTTTCCACATTATTACAAATATTGTGGCAGAAGATTCCTTGGGTATAACATTGTTAAATTCCAGACAAGTGAGTAAAACAGATAGGACATCCTCAACATATCACATTGCAAGGGGAAGAAATTGAAACAGAGTAGCAAATAAACCAAGAATGCTTCCTAGGGAAACGAAAGTAATAAGGAAAGAAGGGCTGAAACTTCCCAAAACTCACTATGACACCATTTTGTAAGTTGAGTTAGAATACTTTGAACATGGACTATTTTATTTTTGGCGCAAGACCCAAATAGGCATGAAACATCTTTTTTTTATCAACCAGGACATATATAAGTAGATTGAAATCACTCTAGAAACACACTAGCCATGCATAACTCTAACCACCCCACGGCTTTGGGCCACTAACAGAAACGACATTCATAACCCAAATATCAAACGTATGATTAATATGGGAAGAATCAGAGTTGTGACAAAAAATTAATTTAAATAGAATCGGAGTTGTGAAATTGCTATTTTCCAATCAATAATGGTAAATTACAAGCCGATGAAAAATTCTCACTAACCTCCAAGAATTCATGGCTGCCAAGATCTCCTATTCAAGAATCACTCACAATTACCCAATCGTCCACTCTGCTTAGAAAAGAATTTTCACATATAATTCCCTGACAATTCTTGCAATGAAACAGAAATCAGAACGGAAAGCAAATGGGCGAAGAACAAATGCATAAACCAGTGAATAATACAATAAACATGATGAATAAAAGCCATAGCTATTGAATTTTTTAATGATAAAATAGAACTAAGAAGGAATTAGGAAACTCTATGAGGAACACAAACCTTAGTAAGTAAAGCCCTTTTTTTTTTTCTCCTTTCGGGACAGGAATCAGACAATCCCTAAGTCCAACAATCAGACGGTTACCACTTACTCGAAGAAGAAGAAGAAGAAGACCTGTTAGAAGAGCGCGACCTCAAAAATTGGGGGAAGAGCAAGACCTATGACGGCACAGCTAAAACTCGGGACTGAACGAGTGAGATGCAAGACCCTCATAGCGGCAATCAGCGAGATAAGAGACCCAGGACGGTGAGACAAGAGACTCACATCGGCACTGAAGACTGAAGAAGAACGATGAGGGCAGGGTGAGAGTCAGAGATCCCTAGAGCAAATGGATCGTGAAGCAGCAGAAGGGAAATGCATTATTTTGGCGCAAGTCTTTTCGTTTTTTTAATCTAGACCATTATATTAATGGGAAGAATCCCAAAAAAATATTTTTAAATTTTAAAATTTCAGAGTCTTGATTATTATTTTTTAATAACAATTAAAATATTTTAAAAATAAATAATAATATTTTTATATTCAAAATTTTGAAATTTTAAGATTTTCCCTTATTAATAACGGCGTCCGTTTGTCTCTGAACTGATGCCATTGCAAAGAGAGTGACGGCGTTAGGTCCCTATGAGGACTCCATACTAAAATTTTGAAATTTTAAGATTTTCCCTTATTCTTGCTATGCCTTGAAAGAGTATTGAGTAAATATAGAATTATGTCTTTATGAATATTTAACAATTGGACCTGATAATATTCTTATTAAAGTTTGAAAATATTTGGGTGAAAGTGGTGTGCTGAGACCTACTAAGTTATTCAATAAGATACTGCGCTCCAAGAAAATACCTGATGATTAGAGAAAAAGTACTTTAGTACCTATTTATAAAAATAAAGAAATATCCAAAACTGTGCTAACTACAGAGGGATTAAGCTCATCAGCCTTGCCATGAAATTGTGGGAGAAGGTGATAGAACATAGGTTGAGATTGGAGACTTGTATTTCTGAAAACCAATTCGAATTCATGCCAAAAAGATTGACAATAGAAGCGATTTATTTACTGAGGGGGTTAATGGAAAAGTATCGAAGCCACAGAAGAGACTTGCATATAATTTTTATTGATTTGGAAAAAGCTTATGACCGTGTACTTAAAGAAGTGCTTTGGAGAGCCTTGGAGAAGAAATGTGTGCGTGTCGCTTATATCAAAATCATTCAAGACGTCTATGAGGGGTTACAACTAGGGTTAAAACGACAGGCGATAAGACAAAAGACTTTCCTATAAGGATTGGCCTATATCAGGGATCATCTTTGAGCCCTTATCTGTTTACCTTAGTTCTCGATGTTCTGACTGAGCATATCAAAGAAAAAATCCCTAAGTGCATACTTTTTGCTGATGATATTGTTCTATTGGATGAGTCAAAAGAAGAAATTACTGCTAAACTTGAGATATGGAGAAGAACGTTGGAATCAAAGGGTTTCCATTTGAGTAGAAGCATGACGGAATATATGCATTGTGTTTTTTACAAGAGACAAGTTGGAACAGATTTGGAGGTCAAATTGGGAGATCAAGTCATTCCACAAGTGGAGTTTAAATATTTGGGATCAATTATACAAAAAGATAGTGAAATTGATGGAGATATTAGTCATAGAATTCAAGCTGGGTGGTTTAAATAGAAAAAACAACAGAGTTATCTGTAATCAGAAAGTACCTAATAAGGTCAAAGCAAAGTTTTATTGCACTGCTATAAAACCAGCAATGCTATATGGCAATGAGTATTGGGCTTTAAAGGGACAACATAAACAAAAAGTAGCAGTTGACGAGATAAGAATGCTGAGATATGTGTGTGGTCATACAAGAAAAGACAAGATCCGTAATGAACATATACGAGGAAAAGTTGGAGTCACTGCTATTGATGAGAAAATGGTAGAAAATTGATTGAGATGGTTTGGTCGCATGCAAAGAAGGCCTTGGGACGCGATAAGAAAAGTTGATCAAACAGTATAAAGTCCTCTAAAAAGAAGTAGAAGAAGGTCGAAGACAACACTTAATAAAGTTATTGAGCGAGATCTTTTAATTAACAATATATCTAAAGATTTGGCTTTGGATAGGATTTAATGACGTCATGCGATCCATATAGCCCTACCTAGTAGGATAAGGCTTTGTTGTTTTTGAATATTTAATAGGTGAAGATATTCATATTAGAATCAATCAAACTTTCATTTAAATTCAAACTTATTTCTAGATTCACCAGAAAACAAGGACATCGTTAGTGCGTTAACTCAAATTTAGTTAAATTCAAAAAACCAAAGGAAGATTTAATGTTCAACAAAATCCTACAAAACTAAGGATATAAGATGACACATGTATGTATCATACACTAAAGTCATCATGTGAGTAGGGATCAACTTCATAGAAATGTCTAGGTGGTCATGTGATGGTCCCTTCATGCGTGATCGAAGCATTGAGGAGTTAGCTTGAGGCCCCATCAAATACAATCAGATTTAAGATATCCAAAACATGCTTTCCGCTACATTTGAAAGTCGACTAAATGAAATGATATTATGGTTCAACAAAATTAGTTTAAGAAACATGAAAATGACAGTATAATAGTGGCAATGTTTATTGCTTCAATCCCAAATAAAAGCAAGCTAGAATCTTCAGCAATAATCAAAACTGCTACTAAAATAAAATAAAACACAAAAGGGATGAACTGACAAGAATAGCCAATGGTATCCAGCAATAATATCTAAATCACTACTTTATTAAAGCTATCTACTACCTTGTACCCAGCTCCCATATTTGGACCATTTTTTCATGTCCTGATGTCCACTCTCTAGCTGTCAGGTAGCCAATCTGGATTAGATCGGCTACCAATCTGGATTAGATTGGTTAAAAAAAAAAAAAAAAGGTAGCCTTGGAGAATAGCTTCTGAGAGAATAGATTTTGAAAGAATAGATTTTCTGAAAAAGTGATTCTGATAAAGTGAGAGTGTTTGGATAATTATTGTCAAAAGTGCTTTTTTATATGTAGAAATTACTAAAAAGAACATAAGTGTAAATGATAATTACATATAAGATATATTTCATAATATATGTTTATTTGAAGTAATAAATTTGTTAATAATATATATTTTGGCAACATAATAAATAAGAGATAAATAATATAAATAAAAAAATTAAGACTTTCTCTGCAATATGAAATTGTCAATCATAACCAAATGGCAATTGTTAACAATTTAGCAAAGGATGGGGAGATAAAAAAGAAAAGCGGCCACATAAAAATTTTACTCGCTTTGAATTGCCTACATTATTACCACGCATCTTTTGATTGGTTACTTCAGATGTTTCAAGGTATGTCTTATTCTTTTTCAGGTGGTTGGAGATGTCTTCTAGAGTAATATTGTTTCAGACTTGTGAAATTTGTTGGAGCTTCCTCACTTCCATTTATTTGTATGAAACAAATCTGCTACTATTATATCCCATATTGCGAACATCAAAAGGAATTATCTATTGCAGGCCACAGATGGCCATACGGTTTAGGGTTTCTTTAGGAAACACAACGTTGGAGGAAGAAAATGATTAATAGTGACTAAGAATATATATACATATATAAATATAGGCAAGATAAATGCATTGATACATTAGTAAGTTGCGTTCTTATTCCCTATGATTAAAGCCGACTGCGAATACATCCATTCTTAGTCACATCATTTTGGAATGAGTTCTTTAATGTGTTCAAATTAACTTGAGGTGTCGAGTGAATTCAGGCTCATCGCAATATAACAAAGAAAAATGATAATCTCAACTTTATGTCTTAATTATAAAAGCCAATTCAACCAAATGTGTATCCTTCATTTCTATGCTAATTAACTAATTAGGGTACAGGAGAAGAAAACTTTCCTCATCTATGTCACAGTGAAAGAAATAACCCTGAACATACATTTCACTCGTGAATATGTTGGTCCCAACAGAGAATAAGCTAATCAGGTATTAAAAATTAAAGTAAATCCCAAAATCAGCTCGAACATATCCCAATGAACATTAAAAAGGCAAATAATTAAGTACGTATATAACTGCTATTTGTTGCCAGAGCTGCGATTGGCCATGGGATCGGTAAATGGTGGACGGTGAAGTAATAGCATGATCCAAGAGAGTTGTGACCATAGAACTATAGCATCTCTGACGAAAATAGATTTCAGGACGATCTTCACATATTGAAGCAGAGTCCACAAGAGAAGCTCTGAAGCCACGTGTTCTAACCAAGATGCCCCTTGGGATCAAAAGATGGTGAAAAACAAAATAATGGTTTGTTTCCTTTTATTTATTAACTACTTAATAATTACTGATTATTACTCTTCTGATCCTATTTATAAGTCACTTTCAACATGTTTCACACAGACCAAGAAAAATCTTAAACTTCATTAACTCTTATTTAAAATTCATCAACTTTTCAACTTTATCCCTATTTAATATACATTATACCTCACATAAATAAAGTCAACATAATAATAAATAAAAGATAAAATTATACATCCATATAAAAAATTTCTCTCAGTATCTTATAAGTAAGATAAAAAAATATCTTCCTCTACCCTATAAATAGGACTAGAAGAGTAATTGTTAATCTTAATTGGAACAAAGAAAACCCCTCCCCCTCCTTCCTTTTTCCATTCCATTACTTATATGTCCATACTATAAGGGGATTATGCACATTTATCCTCTTTTTATTATTTTGTTTTTCATTAAAGATAAACAAAGTGCAGGAGTTTGAAATATTTTCTAAATTTTTAAATTATACTAATCCCTTTCTATTTATAATTCATTCAAATTAACAGTTTTTAGTAGTTAATAAGAGTTTATGTTCTTGAAATTATCTCATTTTCGTCATCAAAAAAAAAAAATTATCTCATTTGCAGGAGGTGAAAGAAAAAACGACTCATATTTCCAAAATAACATTTAATTGAATGTGATAAATAATCAATATTACTCATTTCTTTTGATATTTCTTTCGGTTATAACTACTTAAAAAATCTCCATTACTATTAACAATTGAATTGCTTTATAAAAAAAATAATAAAGAGGAATAGAAACACAAAAGAGCAAAAGGAAAAAAAAAGCACAAAATTCAAAGCCCATGCTAGAAGACTAGTAAAAAAGATTTAATTTTAAATATTTTCTTACAAAACACCATCATGCACTAAATGTAAACGCCTCTCCTAACGGGGATTCGAATCTTGATTCGCCATTAACCATTTCTATTAGACCCAACCCC